AGTAAGTGCATGAAATCTCTGGGGAAAGGAAAAACACAGAAGTGAGAGAGAGTGTGTCATGTTCCAGAAGTCGGGAATGAAGCAGGTGAAGGAAATACGGGGGGGGGGGGGGGGGGTTAGAACACCAAGAGGCGCGTGTAGGCAGCATAGACCCGGAGGCCGGAAGTTGTAAGAGTGTTGGCATTCACTCTGAGGTGGAGGGTTGAGAAGAGAGGTCAGATCTTGGACTTGAGAGACTGACATTGATCACAGAGTTCGAGCAACGATAGAGTAAGGCACAGTGGTAGAGGCGCGGGATGGTAGCCATAAGATTAGTGAGCAATAGCCGGGTTCTGTGCATATTCTGAATGCTAGCAGGCTCACCTGATCATAGCATATGTGCTGTGCTGTGTACATCATAGGTGTATGGTATGGACGGGAGAGAGGAAATGAAGAGCATCTGGAAGGACAGTAATACACCAATGCAGGGTGACAGCACAGGACTGTGATCCCAGCGCTCAGGAGACGGCAGCAGGAGCTTCTGAGTTCCGGGCCAGCCTGGGTTATAAAGCAAACAAAGCAAGGGCTAGGAATGTAGCCTAGTGGTTGAGAACTCACCTAGCTTGCAGAAGGATTCTATTCCCTAGTGCCCTCCCCGGCACGATGATTAGAAAAACTACATCATCACTGTGTATAATCAAACACTTTAGTCTTTGTCAGTTTTAGTAAATAAGGCTATCAAGACCTGGGGCTTTTGTTTTGTGTAACATTTTTATGCAGTTATTCCCAGACTGTGCTGCAGCAGCACCGGGCCTCATATCCTTAAGCTGGTGGCAGAGAGAAAAGGGCCTTCTTTCTCTCATTTTATAAACTTTTTAAGGATTTGTGTCTGTTCTTAAGATGGAGAAATGGTTTCCTCCCTGCGCCTCTCCACAGCACCTGGCTTCCTTTCAGTATCATTACCTAACCTCCCACATGTGCCCATGTTTAAACTAGTGTCTGCTGAGGGTGTAGGCCCACCACGATTGACTTAGACCAATTACAATTCCTTCTCCAGGGCTGGTGTTGAAGCCTGCTGCTCTGTAAACATAGGAGTGTGCTTATCCCACAGGTTAACAAGGTGGTAGAAGCAGTGAGCAAAATCTTAGTCAGTTGTGCTAAGGTCTCAGGACCTGGGACTCTGTTACGGAAGGACCAAAATTCCTCCCTGGAAACTTCTGAGAAAATTTCTGTTAGGCCTGTCTACAGTCTGTGTGCTCTCCAGGATACCACCCCATCCTGAAATTATTATAGGCACATCATGCTAAGGAATGGAAAGAATTTGCACCGTGTCCTGTTGGGGTGAAGAAATGCCACATCAGGGCTGGAGATATGGTGTAGTGGTTAAGAGCACTTGCTGCTCTTGCAGAGGACCTGGGTTCAGTTCCCAGCTCCCATCTGGCAGCTCACAGCCAACGATCACGTTAGTTCCATGGAATCCAGTTTCCTCTCCTGATCTTCATAGCATTGCACACATATGGTACACATACAGGCAAACACACGCACACAAAGGATAATATAAAATAATTGCTAGTGGATTTTAAATCAGGACATAGCACGATTAAATTCCATGATAATAATCAGGATAGGGTGGGGTCCTAGAGCTCATACAGTCTGTAGGCAGGTCTCGCAGGTAGAAATTGTCTCAGAAAGTTCCAGGGAGGCTTTTAGGTCCTTTTGTAACAAGGCCCCAGACTTTAGTAGGCCCTGTGACCTTAGCACAACTGACTCCATGATGGAAGTACTATTCAGGCTGTTAAAACTCAGCACATAGACAGCACCACCTGCCAAAACTAAAGCAAAGGCCAAATCCATCAAAACTCATAGTTCTGGGAAAGACTCTAAATGAACCAACCTTGTCTTTTTGGCTTCTGTAGTTCTGCTCTGGCTAACTGTTCTTGTTAACTGAAGTATGTCAATCCGGGATGTGGTTTTCTATGCTTAAAAGCTCACCCTGAGAAAGGCTTAGTACTAGTACTACACTGGGATCCAGCGTAGACACCAGTAGGCTAATAAAGACTTTCTATTGGTTTAAACCCATTTCTGAGCAGTCTTCTCTGGTGGACACCCTACAGGACTTAAGTTAAGAACACGACCTGGATGGAAAGGAGGAAAGAAAGTAGAGGGGAGAGGTTCTAGAACGACTCCTGCATAGGCTCTAGGCTCCCAAATGAGGTAATCCCACAGTATTTTGTCCAAGAGCATCTGGATGGAGCAGGTTTGGGTGGATAGAATGAGTACAGAGACTGCAGGACTGGTTTCGTACAGTGAGCTGCCTGAAAGGCACACAAAGAAGGCTGATTAAACACAAGAAGGAGGTTCACAGGTTAAACAGGTGGCGGTGTGAAAGGATGAAAATTGATTAAGGAGAAACAAAGCAGCCTGGGCTGGCACCCTGAGCTGGGAGTGGGTGGGGTAGGTGGTGGTGGTGTTGTGCTGGGGGTGGAGTGGGGAGGGGGGGTGTCTTGCTGGGGGTGGAGTGGGGTGTTGTGCTGAGGAGTTGGCTGACTTCGTTCAGGGGTGGGCTTGGAGGGCCACATTGACAAAATTTTTGATGTAATTGTAGACAAGCCTTTAAGGAGCAGTTAAAAACTTATTCTGAAATGCAACTTTCTATAATTTGTTTCAATGTGTCGCTGGTTACATCAAACGAGGAAGAGAGATGGTCCCAAGCTCCTTTTGATTTGGCCTGATGACTGAAACCTCAGAGCTCAGCCTTTGTGAGCTGCTAATCAGAAGGGCATGGCAGGGTTTTGAAGGAATCACGCTGAGCACGTGTGTGTGTGGGGGGGTGGGGGGAGACGGACTTATTCAAGGAAGTGTTGTCCAAACTGGCTGTCAGACGCAAATTTTCAAGGAAAGTGTAATGAGAAAATCTTTGGATTAAAGTGCAGTTTTTCTCTTCTGTTTTATGACAGTAGTTACTTATACCCTCTAACTTTAAAGGATGCTTCAATGCCCCTTTGGATTGTAAAGTTAGCTTAGCTCACAAATCTTATGAATTAGAGATTGTTTACAAACCTGTGGGACTCTTGTTTATCCTCTAAAGCACCTCCTTGCTGTTTGGCACTGGAGTTTAAAAGATCCATATTTTAGATTTAGAACTCCAAGAATGAAGCTTCAAGAAGTTAAAAAAAATATTCCAAAACAACTTTTGAATTATTTCTGTCTTCCTTTCTTTAGGCACTGAATTGTTCTTTGGAATGATAAAATTGTCTCTATTTATATATTGTTGTGGTTAGTAGCAGCTTTATGCAATGTGCATGTATGATATGAGTGTGCATAAGTGTGTATGTGTATGAGTGTGTATATGAATGTGTGTGTGTGTGTGTGATTGCATGTGTGTGATTACATGAGAGTGTGTGTGTGTGTGTGTGTGTGTGTGTGTGTGTGTGTGTGTAAGGCAAGGTCTCACCAAGCAGTCTGCCTCACAGCAATTTTCTTACTTAAGCTTCCTAGTGAAGCACTGGGGTTAAAGAACTGTGCCATCAAGCTTGGTACCATCTTTTCTTTCTTGAGACAGGGTCTCATATAGCCCAGGTTGGCCTCAAGCTTGCTATGTAGCAGAGGATGACCTTGAACTTCCTGCCTATCCTGAACTCACTATGTAGGCTATGGTGGCCTCGAACTAGCAGAAATCGGCCTGCCTCTCTGACCACCTCAAGCTAGTTTCTTTTTTATTTGCTCTTTTCCTCTCCGAGTCAGGCCCAGCCAGAGGGCGCTGAAGGTGTTACTCTGACCCAGTCACCTAACCTCCTGCCTCTCTCTGCTGTGAATAATCCCTTGAGGTCAGAGGTACATGAGCCGTTGACCCTTTCACTATTAAACTGCTTTACTCTTCCGACAACTTCGATTCTTTGCCAAACGCTGTGACAGTGAGTGTCACCGTCACAGGCAGCTTTGAGTAAAATTGTCGCTATTGACCTCAGCCCAGTCTTCACCCCTGCTCCAGTGGTGATTTGTATCCCAAGTAAGCGGTGTTTTATGTGTGGAAGGGTGGCCTAGCTCTGGGCACGTGTAAAAGCAGCAGTCCCTCTTTCAAGGACATTTTGCCAGTGAGGCAGACCTGATTGAAGTTCAAGGGGTGACTGAAACAGAAGGTTTGGGTAAGATTTTTGGAGGAAGACACTCTTAAGCCAAAGGTAAGAGATGAGCAGGAGCTGATAGTCAAAGTAGGTGGAAGGCACAGCAGATTGAAACAAAAAATGATCGGGTCCAAACCCGCAAGGGGACGTGCCGGAGCTAACCCAAGAGGTGAGGAGACGCAGAAGGTGCGCAGTGGGCCGTGGTCAAAGAAGACAGGTTGCGAAAACCAGACTTTTTGCCATTCAAGAGACTTCTTCATGTAAACGAGACGCAGGGCTGGCATAAGCCAGAATAAAAGCACCGAAGGAGCGCTGCTTTTGCATGTATCACCGGAAGGCCCAAGAGGACCATAACACAAACGTTCATCATCTGCACACAGTAGGCAATAAACGTTGAAGGAGTGGACATGAGCGCTTGGAGGCAAACATCACTGTCTCCATTTTTTCCCCTCCCAACGTTTCTATCAGGAGAGATGTCAAAGATCTCAGGTCACCATGGTTTGTGGGCAAAAGGGATGGGGTGGAGGAGCTGCCGTTGTGGGACGAAGGCTGTGGTGAGCATCCCGAGTCCTATCCACAGGTTCAAAAGTGTAAGCAGCGGTGGCGCAGGCCACGCGCGGGTCCCCGCCCGCCCAGCAGGCGGTGCCCTCTCCCCTGGGCGGGTCCCCGCCCGCCCTGCAGGCGGAGCCCGGGCGCGGCGCCTTTTCGATTGGCTGCTGCCGAGCCCGGGGGCGGGCACTCGGGGCCGCGCGCCCTTGGGGATTGGCCCCGCCGTGGACAGCGGCCCAGCGTGTGCTCGCCGCCGGTTCGTCCGCGGCTCCGGCTGCGCGCAGGGCCGGCCTCCGCGGGTCCCCGCGGTCATTGGCTCGGCGCGGTTTCCTTGGGGACGTGGCGCCGCCGGCGGCCAGGCCTCCTTCCGGCTGTGCGGGCAGCCACGGGGAACCGCTGAGGGCCAGGCCGGGCCGTGCGGAGGGACGTGCGGGCCTCGGGATCCCGTGAGTGGGACGGCGGCGGAGCTGCGGGCGGAGAGGGACGGGGGGCACCCCGGGCGGCGTGTTCAGTGAGCCCCGAGCCGGCCCACACGGACGCCCGGCGCCCGGGATGCGCGGGACGGTCCTCCGGGAGGAGAGAGAACCGACGCGGAGTGGGGGATCGTGAGAGGGGGATCCGATCCTTTGGGCGCTGCTGGGGCTATGTCTGAAAGCCGGTCAACCCTTTCCAGGCTGCAGCCCTAAGAGATGCGGGGGACTAGGAGGCCACCCTCTCAGGGCAAAAGGAAAAGGAGGTGACAGACGTCTAGACCACTGAAGGGAACTCATGGCTAGGTAAGGTTCGCGCCCGTTATTTCTGCCGGAGGGCTCGGTGGAGGGGGGAGGTGGGGGTCGGGGCTGGGAAGCTAAGTGTCGTGTCCTGAAGCTGCACCTGAACTTTGCATCCTGGTCAGGTGTGTGCGGAGACGTCGAAGCGGTATTCTTTTGAAAGGCCAGTGGGCTCTTGAGAGTAGCAGTGCTTGTCTTTCTAATGGTAGAACCAGGGTAAACGAGTCAGTTTTTACTATGTATCTGCTAAAGCTGATTTTTTAAAAATGTCTCCTTATGTGTACAAGTTGTTAAAGAGGTTAGAACCATCAGTTAAGTAACTTTTCTAACCGTCTGGTTTCTTGTCAGCATTGCTAGTGGCTGTGTTGCAGTTTCTTTAATTCATCAGGGTTAGGAAGTGGCCCCAGGAGCCTGATAATCTTCCTGTTAACACTAGATTAAATATTTTTCTAAAACTTATTTATTTTTGTGTGCGTTGATCTTTTGCCTGCATTCACATCTGTGTGAGGGTGTTGGAACCTGAAGTTACAGACAGTTGGGAGTTGTCATGTGGGTGCTGGGAATTGAACCCAGGTCCTCTGGAAGAACAGTCAGTGCTCTTAACTACTGAGCCTTCTCATCAGCCCCCTAGATTAAATCTTCGAATTGCACTGAATTGAAGAGTTGGGAAACAGTAGATCAAGTCGTTGTTGTTGTTGTTGTTGTTGTTATTATTATTATTATTATTTGAGACAGGGTTTCTCTTTGTAGCCTTGGCTGTCCTGGACTCACTTTGTAGACAAAGATGGCCTCGAACTCACAGAGATCCATCTGCCTCTGCCTCCCTGAGTGCTGGGATGACAGGCCTGCGCCACCGCCACCCAGCATAGATCAACTCTTTCAGACTCTCTAACAGAGATACTCTGGGCCTGGGGTGCTTTTCTCTCTTTTGAGACTGAAAAAAAACATTTAGACTTCTCTCGGCGTGGATTTCTGCCTTGAGGGCTTTCATCTAGTTTTAAAACCATTTTTAAACAGTGTTTTAAGACTTTGACAAATGTTTGTCTCATTCCAGGATCAGTTTTTCCTACCTCTGCCCAGCCTCCTGGTACTTCATCGTGCCCACAGTGAGCCCATTTCTCCGTCAGCGGGTGGCACTCCTGGCACTGTTCTTTATACCCTGTCTCCTTTTGCTTCTACTGATCATGGATCTACGACGTTGGGGCACTTCGTTACCACGAGATAGGCAGTACGAGAGGTGAGTCGGCTTCGGATCACTGTGAGCAGCTCGGTGTTGAAGTTCCAAGCTTGCTTTTGCAGTGCTGGGGGCCGGAAGCAGGGTCCTGCACATGCTTGGTTGCCCTGTCACTGAGTTATGTCACCACCCTTGTAAAAATTTTGGTTGTTGAGACAGGGCTCTTACTAAGTTGCCCAGGCCCAGAATGATCCTGGAGGCTGAACTTGAACTTGTGGTCAGTGTGCAGCTCAGCCTCTTCACTAATGGGAATGCAGCCTGTGTAAACAGACTTGGCTGTCTGTATTTATTTATTTTAATCTTTAATGCACTACCTTTGACTCCTGAGCGATACAGGTCCTAAGTCTTAGTCTGGCCGTGTTCAGTTTTAGTTCAAGAATGCTGATGCTGTATTTCAACCATGAAAGACAGCTTTCTGTTTTCTTGTCTGGGTGGACTGAGGCTTACTGGGTGCATACATGTCTGGGATTGTTGTATGCTTTTGATGAATTGACTTCTCTGTCTTTGTTACGTGAGTGTCTTTATCCTTGATTTCATTTCTTCGTTCTGAAATCTACTAGCCTGGTATTAATATAGCTACTTCAGCTTTCTTCTACATCGTGTTAATGTGATACTTTTCTGTACTTTTAAGTTTTGTCTTTTAAAGAATGTTGTTTTTATTTGTGTGTGTGTGTGTTTCCTGTGTGTCCTGTGTGAGTTTATGCCTGAAGAGGACAGAAGGTGTTGGAGCCCCTGGAACTGGAGTTATGGATGGTTGTGAGGCACTGTGTGGACGCTGGGAACCAAACCTGGGTCCTCTGGAAGAGCAGTCAGTGCTCTTAATGGCTGAGATGCCTCCATAGTGCCCACTTTGTTTTATATTTAAGGCGGGCTTTTTGTAGGTAGTTCAGCCTTGGTTTTTATCCATTCTGACTGTGTTTTCCTTTTAAGTGGGGAGATCAAGCCAGTTGCTTTTTTTTCTATTAATTATGTTTAGACTTTGTCTTATCATTTGTGTTTCTCCCATTTGTCCTGGCCCCCATCTTTTCTTTGGAATTGAGTACATTTTTTTTTTTATGATACTATTTTATTCCCTTTGGTGGATTAATTTCTTTTAATTGTTGCTTTAGGATTTATAGTGTGTAGCTTTATCACATTGCTTGTACTTCAGGTACTGTGTTGTAACAACCTGATAACAGTAAACTTTCAGTCCTCTTTTCCTAGTAGACTTTAAGCTATTGTCATACATTTTCTTTCTATAAATGGTGTAAGTTCAGTAACATATTATCTTAAGCAGTCAATTATCTTCTCAATAATGTTTTTTATTTTTTTAATCTTTTAAAGGATTTTTAAAATAAAAAAAAATTATATATTTACCCATATATTCACCAGTGCCTTTACCATCACATTGCTGTTGTTTAAAAGAAAAATCTTTCCCATTAGGGTGAGTCCATAGGGGGTGAATTCTTTCTTTTGTTTTAAATTTAAACTTTTATGTAGTAGAGAAAGACCTTGCTTTGCTTTCATTTTGCATTTTGGGAAAAAAAAAAACATCAATTGCTAAAGAACTCTGTTGATCATCTTTTCTTCTTGGCTTGCATTCTTTTTGAGAAGTCTGCTGTCATGTGTATCTTGGATTTCTGAGTTCATGTGTCATTTCCTTCTGTGAGCTCTTGAGATGTTCTCCTAGCCAGGCATGGTGGCTCAGGCCTATGATCCCAGCACTCAGAAGGCAGAGGCAGGCAGATCTCTGTGAGTTCGAGGCCAGTCTGGTCTACAAAGCAAGTCTAGGACAGCTAAGGCTATACAGAGAAACCCTGCCTTGAGATAGATAGATAGATAGATAGATAGATAGATAGATAGATAGATAGAATTGTTTAGAAAAGAGGCTCTCCTGGTCTGAAGCAGCTTGGCTGTGACGGGCCTTGTGAACACTGGCAGCCACTGGCAGAGCGCTTGCTCTGCATGATACTGGGGGACAAAGGTGAACACAGCGGCCCTCAGAATTTCAGATCTATCCAGTTAAGAGTTCTAAAACCAAATTTGGAAACATTTTGACCATCATTTTTCAAATATGTTTCTGTTTTCCTTCTCCTCCAAGGCCTCTGAGTGCACCAAGCCTGCATGCCTTCCCCAAACTAATTGATGATGTGTCTTTTTTATCTCTCTGTGTTTTATTCTGGATATTTACTTCTGCTTATTTATTTAATTAATTTTTTGATAGGGTCTCATTAGGTAGGCCTGGCTGCCTTAAAGCAGAGATCCGCCTGCCTCTGCTTCCCAAGTGCTAGAATTAAAGGTGTGCACCTCCATTAATTAATATTGTCTTCCATAATGTTTTAATATTGTTAATTCTATCCACTGAGAGCAGAATATCCATTTTTGCAGAAAAATTTCCTGAATTATTTTCTGGTTCTCAATGACCTACCAACTGCACAAGAAGGCCTATGTTCTTTCACAGAAAGTTTATGTTGCTATGTTTTTAGATTGATTTGTGCTGAGGCTATAAAATTAAATGATGCTACAGTGTATTCATTATTTTCAGCATGATTTTCTGCTTTCTTTTTTTAGAATTTTTTTCTTAGGCATATGCTATGGGCTATTCTTTGGGCTCCAAGTAATAACTCAGATTTATTTAAATAATAATAATTACAAAAAAAAAAACTTACTGGTTCCTATAACTTGATATCCAGAGACCGAGAGACCATGGGCATCACATTAGCCAGCAGGATGGAAGTTGCTGTACTTCCCCTCTTGCTGTTTACAGGGTCAGCTTCTTTTTTTTCTTTTTTCTTTTTTTTTTTTTCTTTTTAGTTACATTTTGTTAACTCTGTGTCCCAGCTGTATCCCGCTCCCTCATTCCCTCCCCAACCCCACACTCCCTCCCTGGTCTCCTCCCTGCCCCTTTCCAAGTCCACTGATAGGGGAGGACCTCCTCCCCTTTCATCAGGGTCAGCTTTTTTAATGGTTGTAAAATAGCAGCCATAGCACCCGGGGCCGCAGGCATCCTCATTCAGGTCCCGTGAAGAGAGAAACAGACTCAGCGTGGCCCTCTCATAAAGATGAGGTGAATCTTGCCAGAATCCTCGAGCAAGGCTCTCCATGAAGTTTTTGTGGTCAGAATTGTGACAAATGCCTAGTGTTACTTTTCACTGCTTCTGTCCCCAGAATATCGCATTTCATACTGTTGCCTACCAGTTCAAATTGTGTTGCAAGCCATGATGCGTAGGTGCTGCTGGCCTACCAAACACGGACCGTGTGTTCCTTTTCTCAAGCTGCTTGTATGTTCAACCTTCCTTCGCTAGAACTCCTGTTCATTTGTAGTTTGGAGTCTTGTTTTCCAGGAGAGAGTATACTGTTGGGTGACGACAGTAGTCAACAGTTGACCTTAAGAAATATCTTAACTAAAATCACAAGTTTTAAATCTAAGTCCGTACACTGAGTTTCTTTTTTGTGTCATGGGATTTTCTTGACAGACCTTAGCTCAGCTTCCCATGGGAAGACAGCGCCATCTGACTGGATCCCATATGGATCAGCTAACATGACCAGGGTAAACTGTCAAGAACATGAGTACTGAGCCACGTGGTGGAGAGGTAGAGGAGGGTCTGGCTGGTGAAGCTGTTGGCTCAGGGGTGGGCATGGGTGGGAGTGTTCGGATTTCATCCTAAGGGCAGAGAAAAGGCTTGGAGGTGTGTTAGGGTTTGCTCTTTATGGTGATGAACACCTTTGACCCCAGCACTCCGGGAGGCAGAGGCAGGCAGATCTCTGAGTTAGAGGCCAGCCTAGTCTACAGAGTGAGTTCCAGGACAGCCAGGGCCACACAGAGAAACCCTGCCTTGGAAAAAAAAAAAATAGCGAACAAACTCACTTTGATGGCATTGTGGAGAATGAATTGGAAGGAAATAAAGCAGAGAGATTCGCTGTCATACTTGAGTAGGGAGAAGGGTACCTTGAAGTTGGGTGACAGCCACACAGAAGAGTGAAAACACTGAGTGGTCCGTAGGAGGTAGATGACCCAGTAGTTCTTACTAACCACTGAATCCTAAGTGACCACATGCAATGATTTGCGAGATTGGCTTGAGATCGCTGCGAAACTGTGGAGGACACAGATTGTCCACCGTAAGGACATTTCTGAAGTCCAACACCCTGAACTGCTCTGGTCAAGCAGCCAGCACCCTAGAGCTTGTTGCTATTTAATTGGCGGCTCTGTGCACACTGCCACAGACAACTGTGTGTGTGCTCTAAGTTCCACAGGTGGCAGCCTCCATGAGACATTCTCTGAGAGCTTGCTGTGTGTTTGTAGTATTGTATTAGACACAGGGGTACAAAGATGAATGAAACGTGGCTCCTGAACAGAGTTCATAGCCTCATCAGGGAGCAGACCTGAATGAATAATTGAGATAGCCATTAAAATCAGGAACTGCACACAGTTAAGAATCAGGAACAAAGTTAATCATAAACGAATCAGAAGAGAGACATGAGTATCCAGCCAGATGTGCTGTCACTAAGTTCATGTTCTAAAAGTACATGTACATTATGATAAGATAGGCTCTTGTCTACAACTTGCTTTTCTTTTCCCTCGGCCTCCTCCTTGTCCTCCTCCTAATCCTCCTTCTCCTCCTCCTTCTCCTTCTCTTCCGTCTTGTTTTGATTCTGCTTTTGCTTGTTCTCACTGTGTAGGCCAGGTTGACCCAAAAGTCACTGTTTCTCCAGGGAAGCTTCATGCTGGCTCTAAGGTCACAGGCAGGAGCCACGGTGCCATTCCCGTTCTTTTCCAGGGTTTCAGTCAGTGTGGCTGTGGCTTGCCGCCAAAGAATACAGCGAAAGAATGATGGCTCCTGCAGCTTGATGTCAATAGATGCAGGTGCCCTGAAAGCCTTGATAACCGGCGAGAGACAGTGAGGCAAAGGAGGACTTATTAAAGGCAGCCGGAACCCAGGTGCTGTATTGCATGCCCGTAATCCAAGCCTTCAGGCAGACCAAGCTGCATATAAGAGCCTGTCCCAAAGACACTGGGAAAAAAA